GGGGCTCTTCGCCCAGGCTGCCCGGCGGGCCTGGCTCCCCGGGCAGCCCCGGGCGCCCGGGCGGGCTGCTCCTCCGCGTGACCCCGCTCCTGGCCCGGGTGTGTGCTTTGGCCTTCGCGGCGCCGGCGCCGGTCGCCGGGCCCGGGAGCGCGGTGGCCGCGGCGGCCGTGGCTCCGGGGTCCTCTTCGGCCGGCGGCCGTGGGGTGGCCGGCGTGGCCAAGGCCGATGCCCGGGCCAAGCACGCCGCCGGGGCCCCGGCCAGCCGGCACTCCTTCCACCACGACCCGATCTTGGGCCATGACGGGGAGTTCAGCTTCTATTCGGCCCTGGCCGAGGCCAGTGCCGAGCGTCAGCAGGCCGCGCAGCAGGCCGCCTCGACATCGGCCGGGCCGGCGCGCGGGCCTTTGCGCCGGGCCGGCGCCTCGGCCGCCGGCGGGCCCCCCCGGCGTAGCATGTCCGCCGACTCGACCGTGTGCACGTGCGCCGAGCTGGCCAGCTCGAACCCCTTCGGTGGGGAGGTGTGTGCCGGGTGCACCGGGCGCCGGGTGTCGCGGGCCAGCCGGCCCTCCTTCGCCTCGTCGGTGTCCGGCCAGCCGCCGGCCACGACCGCCGGGCCGCATGACCCCACCAGCGACAGCGAGTCGGAGTGCGACTCCGGCGACGAGCACCTCGCCGAGGGGTCCGATGGCGGTGGTGGCCCCCGGCGAAGCATGTCCTCCCCCGGGGTGGCAGCCGGCGCCGAGACCTCCTCCTCCTCCTCCTCCTCCTCGCCACCGGCGCAGGTCATCGACCGGGAGGATGTCCTGGTCCCGCGATTGATGATCGATCCGCCGCAATCCACCCCGCTGGTGGACCACCAGGCCGGGGAGGACTTCCCCCAGCAGACCCCCCTGCCCGGGGTGTCCCTGGACTTGACCCTGGTGCTGGCGCCCATTTCCATCGAGATTACGTGTCCCCCGACGGAGGCCGGGGCCCCGGTCGGGGCCGACGCCCAGTGGCTGACCTTCGGCCTGCCGGGGGAGACCAGTGTCCGAGTCAGCGGCTCGGCCCCTGGGCGCCTGGCTTTGGCGGCCGCCGTGCCGGCCTTCTGCCTGCTTTCGGCCACCCCGGCCGAGGGGGTGTGGGAGGAGATCCTGGCCGGGCTGGGGGTCCGGCTGGATGCGCACGCGCGGGTGGACCTCTGGCCACCGGGCTCGAGCCCGGCCTCGCGGGCGCCACACTTTGCATCGATGTCCCTGCCGCCGAACTTCGCCCAGCAGGACGCCTCGGCCGGGGATGTGGCGGCGGCCATGGCCGCCGCGTCGGCCCCGGCCCCGGCCCCGGGGCTTCGCCTGCAGCAGCCGGCCTACTTCGTGGAGTCCGGCCGCGATGCGGCGCATGCCGTCATCCCGGGCATCTCCCTGGGGGGCGGGCCTCTGCGGCTGTCCCAGGCGCGTATCGGCATGTCGGTGGGGTCCGGCCCGGCGGCCGCCGGTGCCACGACCGTTCGCCTGTCGGAGGCCGTCATGACCAAGGGCATGGCCGCGGTGGCCGGGTGGATGGCCAGCCTGGCGCCCACCGGCTCCTCCCCGGTGCCGGGCCCTGTGGCCACTGGCCCGGTGGCGGAATCGGCCTCGGCCGAAATGCAAGCCGCCTCGGCCTCGGCCGCGGCGGCGGCCACCAAGGCGGTGGACGAATTTTGGCTGTACAACCGCACAGCGGCCGATGTGTTTGTCCAGTTGCCCGGGTGCCTGGCGTCGGGTTCCGGCCATGGGCCGGGCTCGTCGGCCGCCACCGGCCCCAACAGCACCATCCACCTGCTGCCCTTCTCGGATGTCTTGTGCCAGTTTGTTCGTCCCCCTTCGGGATCCGGCTGGGACCCGGCCGCCCTGCTGGAGCCCGTGTGCTTCGGCTTCGGTGGCACCGGGCCCGGGTCCGGGTCGGACACGGCGGTTTCGCTGCCGGTCCGGCTGCTGGTGGTCCCGCCGCCGGCCGACACCCCGGCCGGGGGTTATGTTCGACTGGAGCCGCGTGCCAACCCGGCCGATGGCGGCGGCGCCGGCGCCGGCGGCCTCTCCCGCCAGGGGCCCGCCCAGCAGTTCTCCCTTCTGCTGGACTCCTCCCTTCCCGAGGGGGAGGATGCCCCGGTGGCCGGGCCCATGGCCGGGGCTCCCCCCTCGGCCACGGTCATGCGCTGGATCATCCGCGCTTCCTACCTGCTGGAAAACCACGGCCCGGACCCGGTGGCGGTGTACCCCTTCGAGACGCCGGTTCCCGGCAAGGCTGGCCCCGGGAGCGGCACATCCGCCGATGGCCGCCGGCGCCGGGCCAGCATCGACGACGGGGCCCTGCTCATCAACGGCGTGGACATGCGGCGCATTGCCTACCTTGACCGGTGGTCGCGCCGGCCGCTGCACTTCCCCCCGGCCCTGGGAGCCAGTGGGGGCCCGGCTCGCGCCTGGGGCCCTGGCGGGGACCCCCCCGGCCCGGTGGCCCCGGCCGGCAGGCGGACATCCACGGCCCCGGCCACCGCCGCCGGCTTGCCTCCGATGATGCCCACCCTCCGGTGGATTGCCCTGCGTGTGCTGCTGCCCAACATGACCGACACCTGGACGGCGCCGGTGTGTGTCGGCTCGTCGACCGACGTGCCCGGGGCACCTGGCCATGGGGCATCCTTCGCCGACCGGCTGGTGCTCAAGATCCCCGGGGGCCGGCTGCTGGGCCTGTCGGTCCTGCATCGGGGCTGCCTGACGCACATCCAGGTCCATGGGTTCCTGCGACTGCCGCATCCGCTTTCCCTGTGGGTGGCCCCCTCCACCAGTGCCCTGGACTTGTTGCTGGCCGATTTGGCCCTCGGCCGGGGTGTCGGCGGGGCGGCCGCCACCCCCGGCACCATGGTGCAAGTGGAAAATACCCTGCTCACCGGCGGGGTCAAGGTGTGGCAGCATCTGGAGGCCCCGGCCGGCATGGGGGCCGTGCCGCCGGTGGCCTTCCCCGCGACGCTGGTTCCCCCGCGCCATGTCCGGTGGTATGCCTGGGACGCGCCGCACAATGTCCTGTCGGTGGCCGGGGCCCAGGCCCCGGGCAGCGGCTTGCGCTATGTCGGCGGCCGGCGCCTGCTGTGCATCGAGGTGGCCGGCACGCGGGTGCTGGTGGATCCTCGCTGCCCGGGCCGGCAGGTGGTCCTTGTGGCCCTGCCATTGCCCTCGGCCGCGCATCTATCCTTCACCGTTGTTCCGGACAACATCGGCCAGGGCCTGCGCCCGGGCAGTAGCGGCCCCTCCAGCCGCCGGGGGTCTGTGGCCTCCCTGTCGGCCGGGCACGGCACCTCCATGGCGGCCAATCCCTTTGACGATGCCGGGCCGCGGACCCCCCCGCGGGCCAGCACCCGCACCGGGCCGAGCAATCCCTTCGCCGGGGGCCCCGGCTCGTCGCTCATCGCCCCGAAGGCGGCGGCCGCCTCGACACACACCTCGCTCGAGGCCACGGACGCGGCCCTGCGCTGGAGCACGCACTCGGCCACGGCGGCCGCCACGCTCGTGGCCTCGGCCGCCCCGCCCAGCACCCCGACCGGGCATTCCAGCTCGCCGCGGCCCAAGGCCGGCACCGGGCCCGGGAAATCCCGCGTCCCCGGCCCGCCGGCCGTGCGCTGGGTCGAGGTCCCGGTCGAGGTGGCGGTCCTGCGTGGGGGCCGGGTCCGCATCGGCCTCTCGCCCGGGGGCCCGCTCTCGGCCCAAGCCACCCCCGGGGCCGCCGGTGCCACCGGCTCGGGCGAGGCCGACCCCGGTGGCCATGCCGTGGAACTGGCCTTCAAGCTGACCCTGGCCCCCATTCGCTTGAGCCTGGCCCTGGGGACGCCCGGTGCCCGGGCCGTCGGCCGGCACCTGATCCCCTCGCTGCCGGACGAGATCATGTCCACGCCGGCCTCGGCCTCGAGCTCCGGCAGCATGCTTCGCTTGTCCCGGCGCCCGGCCGGGCCCGGCGCACCGCCCACGGTCATCGGCCTCTCGCATGGGGTCTTCTGCCGGCTGGACATCGGCACGATGGTCGTGCACCTGACCCTGGCCCCGCCGCTGTTGGCCCCCTCCACGGCATACGGGCCGCTTGGGCTGGCTCAGCTCCCGGCCGACCCGGGGCTCGAGGCGGCCGCAATGGCGGCGGCGACGGCGGCGGCGGCGGCGGCGGCGGCGGCGGCCCCGGGCAGCGCGCCCGCGCCTCGCCGCGGCCTGTCCGGCGTCCGCGCTGTCGACGCCTCCTCGCACTCGGCTCTCTCCGTGTCGCTGACCCTGCAGTCGCTGGGCGTCGTGCACTACGCCAATGGGGTGCAATTTGAGTCGGTGCTCGAGGCCCGGGCCGCGGCCGGTCCCGGGACCCCCTGGCTCCGGGTGGCTGCCATGCTGGACCTCCCGGTGACCGGGCTTGCGCGCGTGGGCGGGACACCGGCCGGGCGTGCCTCCCCCGCTGACACGGGCCTCCTGCTGGCGGTGCCTTTCGCCTCGGTGTCCCTGGCCGGGCCGCTGGTGGTTCGCGTGGAGGATGCCCTGGTCAGCCGGTCGCTTTTGGTGTTCGAGCCGCTGTTCAACTTCCTGGCGGACTTGTCGCCGGCCGGGCCGGCGGCAGATGCCGGGGGCCCTTCGGGCCCGGGCGGCCCGGCCGCCGGGCCGGCTGTCGCCCCCCCTCCGCCCGAACTTGGCCACTTGTACTTGCGCCTGGGTGTGTTGGACATCAGCCAGGTGGATGTGGCCCTGTCTCTGGCCCTCTCCTCGCCCGGGGAGCTTCCGGGCGGGGCGCGTGCTCGTCGGCAGGACCCGGTCCGCGCCGGGCTGGCCGCCGCCACGGCATGGGGCGCGCTGCGCGTACGCGACGCCTCGCTGTCCATGGCCCGGCAGCGCTTTTCCCAAAAGTCCAGCACCCTGCGCGAGCAGGCACGCGAGCTTCCCCCGGGTCCCCGTGGGGCTCCCCCCTCGGCGGCGCCGCCTGGCAGTGCCCCGGCCGATGCGGCGCTCTTTGCCGCGGCCGGCGGCATGCGTCTGGTTCTCTCGCCGCTTGCCGGGCCGCCGGTCGGCGGGTCGACGGCTGACGGCGGGCCGCCGCCGGGCCCGGCCGGCACCCATGGTGGCCCCTCGGCCCTGGCTCTGGTTCTGCCACCCGGCTCGGATTTCGGCTTCGCCCAGCGCTTCTGGCTGGAGATGGTGGACACGCGAGCCAGCTCCGCGGACCTCGTGCCGGCCCTCATCCGGGCGTATGTGCCCTCGCTGGCCACGCAGATGGCCACTCGCATTGTGCCAATGGCCCTGGTCCGGTCGATCTTCGGTGTCTTCCTTGGCTAGCCCCTGCTTCTGTCCCCCTCCTCCTCCCTTACCCTGGCCACTTTTCTGCATGTCCTTCCCTCAATGCACGCCCTTTGCCCATCTCCGTGTTTGCCACTCCCCCATGTGGTATCCTCCGCCGGTGCCCATGCTGCATACAGGCATGGACACGAGCGCACGCCCACCCCCTCCACCGACACATTTTTGCGGGTGAGCATTTATACTGGGATATTTATTTTCATTCATTTGCACGTGCATGCTCGCCCCCTCCCCCGTCTGAGAGTCACAGTGTGTCAGTCGCGGGAGAGGACGCCGTCCCTGGAGGGGAGGAGACGGGGGGGGGGGGGGGGGAAAGAACAGAGAAAGGAGGAGGGCGGGGGCACCAAGCCCAGGCGCGCACTCTAGGGTGGTGGCTGCCCGGGCCCGGGGAGGGGAAGCACCTGGACGGCGCGTGAATCGGCCGCTACCCGCCCGGGCCAGACTCATCCTTCGGCAGGGGCGGGGCTGCCTTGGTGCCGGGCTGGCGCTCGGCGGCCTCAAGCAAATGGCCAATCACGGCGTCCGGTGGCATGCCCAGACGCCGGAGGAGATCCTCGCGCTCGGCCTGGAGCTCCTTCAGGCTGGCCTCCAGCACGAGGCAGGTGTTGACCGCGTCATGGGCCTGGCGTTCGAGCGACTCGGCCCGGCGCTTCTGCCGGCTGCGGAAGCGCGCACAGCAGGCCACATTCCGGGCCTTGCGCGATTGCTCCGAGTCCAGCCGGCGCTGCTCCACCACCCGCCGGGCCCGGGCGCGGAAGACCCCAAGCAGCTCGGTCAGCAGGTGCCCCGGCACCAGGTGGTGCTCACCCAGCGGGGCCGACAGGGAGGTGCATTCCAGGCTGGCCGCCAGGCTGGCCACATCGCTGTTGGCCGGATCCCGACACATGGCGCTCAAGGGGTCGATGCCCACATGCAGGCGCCGGCGGCCGGCACACCGCCAGGGACGCAGCGCCGGGAAGGGAGCCCCATCCACCTCGGCCAGCAGGTCCCGGAGCTCGGCCTCGGTCAGTGACTCGGCGTCGGCGCCCACCAGCAGGCACCACTCGGGGGCCAGCTGCTCCGCCAGACGAGCCACCTGGTCATCATCCAGCCCCGCCAAATCGTCCAACGACGCGCTGCGAATGGTGGTCGTGGCATTGGCCGGGGGCGAGGCGGGCCCGCGCTTCCGCCGGCCAGCCGGGCGTTCGCTGGCCAGGGCACGCAGCGCCGCGCCCAGGCCTCGCGATGAGTGGACGCTGATGCCTGAAGCCGGCCGAGTGGCCATACACCAAGGCAGAAGGACCCGAGGAAAGGGGCGGGGGCGGGGGCGGGGGCGGGGGGGGTGAAAGGCAGCGGGTCAATGGGGCACGAAGCGCCGGACGGCGAAAGGGGCCGGGCAAAGGGGGGGGGGGCAAATGAAAAGGCCACATGGCGCCAGGAGCCCCACCGGTGGCCAGCAGGGCAGGAGAAGGGAGGGGGAGGGGGGGCCTTGGGGAGGACAACAGGCACGGGACGGGCAAGGGAGGAAGCCAGGCAGGAGGATGTCCAATGGCGCACCTTTCAAGATGTACACCGGTGAGGATGTGATGAAGGACTTTTGGTACTTGACCTTGAGCAGGTCGAGGACCGCCCGGCGGCGCTCCTCCTGCTCCTGCTGCTGGGCGGCCTCCTCGGCATCGGACATGCCGGTTGGCGTCGGGGTTTCGGACCGGGCGCGTGACCGCCGGGTGGACACGGCACGCGCGCTGGCCGCCGCGCTCTTGGCTTCGGCCACGGCCGCACTCCCGGCCCCGGGGTCCAGGGTCTTGGACCGCCCGGCGGGGCGCCGCCGCCGGCAACTGCTCACCAGGGTGGATGTCACCACGCAGGTGGTGGTGGTGGTGGCGGCGGCTGCCTGGCCGGCTGGCGGCCCGGCCATGGGGTCCGAGACGTGCGAGTCCCCGCCCGACTGGCCTCCAGCCTGGGGGCAATCCACCTGCCGACAGGACTCGGTCGAGATGAGAGTCCTGCTGCCATGGACCGGCACCACCACTGGACAGTCGGGCTCTTCACAAGGAACTGCCCCGGGCCCGGGGTCTTTGGAATCCGGCAGCAAGGGACACGGGCCGGTGGCGCAAACAACGACACACTCGCCCGAGGGGCCGGGCGGCGAGAGGACCGAGGTACCGCGGCCTGGGGCCAAGGGGGCCCCCCCCCCGCCGGTCGACCCGGCCGCTGTGGCTGGCCCACAGCCCGCCAGAACCACGGGACCACGCAAGCCGCAGGACCATCTGCCGGCCGGGGACGATGCGGCCGGCAGCTGGCAGACGACGGCCGCCGCGGCCGCGGCCGGGGGCAGGCTCGCGCGGGGGTCGCCCGGGCGCCGGCGCGAGGCCGCGGCGCCGGCCTTGCCGGCCTTCTTCTGCCCCGCCGGCGAGGACACCAAGGCCCCGGGCACGACGGAGGAGGAGGAGGAGGCCCCGGAAGCCGGGGAGCAGTCGATTGCCGGAACACTCGGCCGCACGGACCTCACCCTGGGCGCTTGGCACTTGCTACAGGTGAGCGCCGCGCGCAGGGCATCCGGCCCCAGGGCCGCTGCCCGGCCAAGCACGCCCAGGGCACGGATCAGGCGCTGATCCCCCTTCGAGGTGGAGGCCGTCGAGTGGAGGTTGATCGGCGGCGGGAGCGGCGACCCGCAGGGGCCGTCGGGCGGAGCGCTGGCCGGGTCATCCCCATCGTCGCACTCGCAGCCGGCCGGGACCAGGTCCACCGGCTGGACGGTGGCCCCATGCGCCGCACCGGCCGCCGGCAAGTGCAACCGGGGCCCCCTCCCGGCGGATGCCGAAGTGTCGACATCCATCGGCGTCGCTGGCGACCGGGGAAAGAGCAACTGAGGAGACGCCGAGCCCGGTGCCAGGGTACCCGCGCATAGCTGGCCGGCCCCCGGCCCGCCGGCAGCCCCCCCGGGAAGCCCCCCCGAGCAGGCAGTCAACCGGTCGAGGTCCGCATGGTAGAGGGTCCCATCGATGAGGAAGTCAAAATGGTCATCATGGAAAACCAGCTCATGGCCACAGTCCAAACTATGCCAGTGAGGAGCCGCCGGGGAGGGGGGCAAATCGAAGCCCGGCTCGCCGGGGCCCGGGGGGCCGGGCAGCGCCGGCTCCGAGCTGGCTGGCGAGAGCACCGGCGCCGGGTGCGGCCAAGCCGACAAGTCGGGCAGCGCGGCCGGATCGTCGGAACTCGGCGAGGGTCCCGCAGGGGGCGGAGCCCCCAATTCGGGGCCCGGAGAGTGGCGATGGAGAAGATGGTGATGATGATGATGATGATGGAGCAGGACATGATGATGATGGTGGTGACGGTGGTGGCCCGGGAGGTCGGGATGCTGGTGATGGTGCACCAGATGGTGGTGGCGGCCATGGGGCCCGGAGGCATGGTGATGGAAGTGCAGCAGGTGATGATGATGATGATGCTGATGCTGATGGCGGTGATGGCGGTGATGCGGCTGGGGGGAGCAGCCGGGCTCGACAATGCTCCCCTCTCCCGAGCTGCCGGGCCCCTCATCGGCAAGCGCCCCGGCCGGCTGGAGGGCATGCTCGCAATCCGGGTCATGGAGTAGCGACGAGGAGGAGGAAGAGCCCGAGGTCGGGGGGTCCTCCTCGCCGCTGGTGAAGGGAACAAGATGGGACTGGAAGTCCGACGCGGGGGAGGAAGACTCGCTTAGAGCGGTGGCCGGCGGAGCCAGCCATCCGCCCTCGGCCAGGGGGTCGGCATTGGCCAAGGGGCCGGCCATTGGGGGGGCCCCCGGCACGGGGGCCCGGGGATGGTGGTGATGGACAAGCAGGTGATGGTGGTGGGCATCGGCCCCCGGGGTGGGGCAAAAGATCGGCGTGTTGACCACATGGCAGGCGAGAGGACCATCGGTCGACGAGTAGCCATGGGAGGGGGGCGCATCGTACGCATGGCCGGGTGGGTGATGTGCATCGGGGTGCGGCGAGGGCGGCTCAGGTGGATGATGGGCATGGTGGTGCATGACATGGTGGTGATGCTGGAGCAGATAGATGTCTCCGTCGCAGGGGAAGCCGGCCGGCGAGGCGGCTGGGGCTTGGCCGGGAGCAGGCTGGCCCGAGTGCAGCCGACCATCAACGATGTCTGGGGGCGGGGAGATTCCCGGTGAGAAGGCGCACAGAGCAGGCGAGGGCCGGGCGAGGCCGGCCGCCGGGACAGCCGAGCACGCACCTATCCCGGCGCCCGGGGCCAAGCCCCGCAGGAGAAGCTCCTCCTCGGCGGCCGGGGTGGTGTGACCGTCCGAGGCAATGGATGCCGAAGAGGGGGGCGGCCCGTCGGCCGACAGGAAGCCCATGCTCTCGCCCATGGGCGAGGACCACAGGGCGTCGGCCGATTCGGCGGAGAAAAAGCAGTCTGGCGAGTGCAGGGGGTGTGGCGGGATGTCAGCCAGCAGGCTGCCTTGGCCGGTGCAGGCCCGGGTTAGGTTATTGAAGTGGCAATCCCCCGGGATGGGGGGCTCAGCTCCGAGGGCTGGCAGACAGTAGAGCTCCGGCAGGCAGGTCATCGGTGGCAGGGGGCATGGCGCGGTGGAGCTACGGTCGCCGGTGCCGCCACACTCGAGGGCGAAGCCGCACTCAAAGGCGGCCGGGCCATGGCCCATGGCCGGGCCAGCGAAGGGAGACTGATCAGGAAGGGGGGTGCTCATGAACTGGCTGTCGTGAGGAGGAGCGCGACAGTTGCTGGCTTTGGGAGAGAGAGGGGGGGGGAGGGGGAGGAGGGGGAGAAGAGAAAGGAAGAATCGCAAGAGGGGGGAGAGAGAGAGAGAGGGAGGGAGGCAGGAGGGAAAAGGAAGGGAGCGTCTAGGCTTCGGTGGGGGACACAGTGGAGGGGATCATATTCACACGTCGAGAGAGAGAGAGAGAGAGGAAGGGGCTGGAGGTGTGTGTGTGGTGTGTGTGTGGTGTGTGTGTGGTGTGTGTGTGTGTGTGTG